ACACACACACACACACACACACACACACACACACACACACACACACAGAGAGAGAGAGAGAGAGAGAGAGAGAGGGTGCAGTTATGGAGACGTATTTGGCATTAACACTTTGTTGAACGCGCTTCTTTACGTATCGCTTTTTAAAAAAAATAATAATAATCAGGCACTATGATAGGCACCTTTTATTTTTCCAGCTACTGATTACAATATACTTGGTGTACTTGGTGTTGAGTTGGCAATTCGCGCGTGGCCGCCAGACTGTGCAAAGGGAAGGGAGGACTAGAAGGATCTCTGGATTCTGGGACAGCAAGTAAGACTCGTGGGAATAGACCGGCCTGCTTGCCATACTGTGGGGATTGAATTGCTGGAATGATGTGAAATGAATAATAAGCCTTATACTGTATCTTATGCAGATATGATACATTCCCCTTTTTAATATGCAATGAATCATCTAGTCGGGTGGCTAGCATCTCTGAGCGAGGGGGATGGAAGACAAGCGAGTGATGGGGTTTCCTTTTGAAAAGTAGCAGTAGTTTCGTTTTAACGGGTGGGTTGTGATGTCGCTTGCAAATAACTGGTGTCATTTGCAGTAATAATGAGCTAGCTAGGCGTTTTGGAACAGGATGACCTAATGGAAAGGAGAGGAGGAAACATTGAAGAGAGAACATGTTAAACATTTGCAGAGCATCAGTTATGTAGCTGCAGAAGAGCAACATGCTCTCCATATTTGTCCCTGCAGTCACCTGACTAATTGAAACTTAACAGCTAACAATAATGGTTGAATGGTGATTCTACATATTGATTCTTGAGCAAATTTTATATGACAGTGAATGTCTTAAAATGTGCGCTTACAGTCAACCAATGGAACAGCTTTCCTTCAGAAGTTGTGGGAGCTTCATCACTGAAAGCTTTTAAGAAGATACTGGACTGCCATCTGTCAGAAATGGTGTAGGGTCTGCTTGGGTGGGTGGGGGGTGGACTAGATACTTACAAGGTCCCTTCCAACTCTTAATCTGTATCTGTATAATATTGATAGATATAATTTGAAAGACACTGTGGGAATAAACCATGTAGAACGTTGAAGAGCCCATTTAAGCTACTGCTCCCCCCCAAGTCAGTACAGGTATCCAAATTGAAGTATCTCTTACAGATTTAGTCAATAATCTTGATTAAAGAGTGATTTAGTGAATGTCCTGTTTGCAGATGATACCAAACTTTTCAGGGTTTAAAAAAATTTTTTTTTTGAAAAAAATCATTGGATTTCTATAGAGAGAATACATGTTAAATGAAGGTCAGCATAAAGTGAGATATATTCACTATACTTTCCCCCAGCTTCATACATACTCAACATTAAAGAGATCTGAGCTGTCTGTAATCAAGAATTTTTAGCATTATCGCAGGTAACGAAGATGCTGTTTCCATGTGCAGCAGCTGTTAAGAAATACTAGATAAATTCCATCTTAAGGTTCAGCAAGAAAAAGATGAAAAATAAAACAGCTAATGTATTACTCTATCATAAATTGACAGTATGTCTGCACCTGAATATTTTGTACAATTGTGGTAATCGCACTAAAAAGATTCTAGAGCTGGGGAAATACAGAAAAGTGATTCAAAATGATTAGAAAACACCTCACTATAACATTTGGGACTCATTAGAGAAAAGTGATTTAAGAGGATCATGATGGGTCTTGGTATGATCTAGTAAGCACTTTATGTTCTTATAGCATTCTTTGAAATATTTCAAAGTTAATGTACCCCTGATCTTATCTTAGTGCTAAATATTCCCATTTCTTTTACATGGAATATAATTTTAGTTCCCTGTATTCTTAATATTGCAGTTTTGATAACACTGACTTCTTATAAAGCATCATGGTTACAAGGAGATTACAAATTATTACCCACAAGATAAATGAAGTACACTGCTCAAAAAAATAAAGGGAACACTTAAACAACACAATGTAACTCCAAGTCAATCACACTTCTGTGAAATCAAACTGTCCACTTAGGTAGCAACACTGATTGACAATCAATTTCACATGCTGTTGTGCAAATGGAATAGACAACAGGTGGAAAGCATAGGCAGTTAGCAAGACATCCCCAATAAAGGAGTGGTTCTGCAGATGGTGACCACAGACCACTTCTCAGTTCCTATGCTTTCTGGCTGATGGTTTGGTCACTTTTGAATGCTGGCAGTGCTTTCACTCTAGTGGTAGCATGAGATGGAGTCTACAACCCACACAAGTGGCTCAGGTAGTGCAGCTCATCCAGGATGGCACATAAATGTGAGCTGTGGCAAGAAGGTTTGCTGTGTCTGTCAGCGTAGTGTCCAGAGCATGGAGGCTCTACCAGGAGACAGGCCAGTACATCAGGAGACGTGGAGGAGGCCGTAGGAGGGCAACAACCCAGCATCAGGACCACTACCTCCGCCTTTGTGCAAGGAGGGACAGGAGGAGCATTGCCAGAGCCCTGCAAAATGACCTCTAGCGGGCCACAAATGTGCATGTGGCTGCTCAAACGGTCAGAAACAGACTCCATGAAGATGGTATGAGGGCCCGATGTCCACAGGTGGGGGTTGTGCTTACAGCCCAACACCGTGCAGGACGTTTGGCATTTGCCAGAGAACACCAAGATTGGCAAATAGGGGGCTGCACAGCCCTCCATGTGCTCGCCAGAGGTAGCCTGACTGCCATTAGGTACCGAGATGAGATTCTCAGACCCCTTGTGAGACCATATGCTGGTGCGGTTGGCCCTGGGTTCTTTCTAATGCAAGACAATGCTAGACCTAATGTGGCTAGAGTGTGTCAGCAGTTCCTGCAAGATGAAGGCATTGATGCTATGGACTGCCCCCCCCCCCCCATTCCCCAGACCTGAATCCAATTGAGCACATCTGGGACATCATGTCTCACTCCATCCACCAATGCCACGTTGCACCACAGACTGTCCAGGAGTTGGGGGATGCTTTAGTCCAGGTGTGGGAGGAGATCCCTCAGGAGAGCATCTGCCACCTCATCAGGAGCATGCCCAGGCTCATGTAGGGAGGTCATACAGGCACGTGGAGGCCACACACACTACTGAGCCTCATTTTGACTTGTTTTCAGGATATTACATCAAAGTTGGATCAGCCTGTAGTGTTTTTTTCCATTTTAATTTGGAGTGTAACTCCAAATCCAGACCTCCATGGGTTGCTAAATTTGATTTCCATTGATAATTTTTGTGTGATTTTGTTGTCAGCACATTCAACTATGTAATGAACGAAGTATTTAATAAGAATATTTCATTCAAATCTAGGATGTCTTATTTGTGTGTTCCCTTTATTTTTTTGAGCAGTGTATATGAACTAATACACGGTCATTGAGTTTGTATTCCAAATGTGGTTGATGTGACAGATTCTATTCATCTTAAATTCCCACAATTTATGAATTCATTTAAATGCAGCTTTTATTGTATAGTATAGGATTACAGATTGGTTATGATAATAGAGAAGCTATGTCACAGAAATCTTTATTAATATGTTTATTAGCCTCAAATTCCTCATTTATTGAATGGTTAAGGCTTACAGAAGTGTAAGTCAGTTGAATGTAAACAGTTCACATGTGCAAAGTGCAGCTTGTAATATGTGCCTATAAAAGCCAATGTAGTGGCAACAGTGAAAATATTTGTCATCAGTGCAAAATGTTTTGTGGTGTGAGAAGTAAGATAGGGATAGTTTAGGATGAAGTCAGCCCTCCCTAATTTGGCTGCAGCTGAGACAAAATTGCTTCTCTTCTAGACAGGTACTTCTCTTTAGATTGGCAGTAGATAATTTAATCACACTGAGAATGAAGGCCTAAAATAGTATATATAAGTTCTGTTTCCTAATTCTGTCTTTTTTATATACTTGCTGAATTTAGGAGGAACTTTTATCCTTGTTTCATTCTTGAATTACTAAGTCTGGTAAATGTCTGTTTTTCCTAAAAACATCTCTGGTCAATGATTAGAATAGGATAGGGATAGGAATAGGGATAAGGATAGGATAGTCACTTCAAATGTACACTAATCAGCATATATTAAAATTAAATTTTGTTGCATTCAGCTCTCAAAAGATAACCATTATGCATATACCCACGTACACATACACATACGACTCAGAGAAACACGACAGTCATATTACATATGATTACATAATTATATTTCAAAGTGGTTTTTTTCTAGGCAAATGTTGGATATCAGACAGTTCCCCAAATTTTTGTTCCTCATTATGTACATTATTACTACTTACATGTGAATGTTATACCTTATCACTTACTGTATCTCTTTACATGTTTGTGGAGACTTTCTTAGTTGTGTTCCTTTTTTGTAGACGTGTCAAGAGATTTTGTTTTTCATCCACAAAGAAAATGTCATTAAGAAAAGGTACTTTTTCCTCTAAATAATTATTTTTAAAAAGTTAAATACTCAGATGCTGCTATTCTAACAATGGCTTTCTTTTTTCATTGCAGTAAACATAGCCATCCTCATATTGGTTGTTGTTATATTTCTGTTAGTGTTGCATCACAACTTTCTAGGTCTCAGTGATCTCTTAAAAAAAGAATTATCAGGTATTCTTATTTCCCTATTTTAATATGCTTCAGTAAAAATGTTTGATAGGAAATAAATACCTTTGTATATGTTTTTATAAGCAAGTTTTTTTCCCTGTAAAAACGTATTTGCATGGTGGCAC